TCCTTCCTTCCTTCCTTCCTTCCTTCCTTCCTTCCTTCCTTCCTTCCCTCCTTCTTTCCTCTCTGTGTCTTTTTGAGGTTGGCCCCTCCAATGGGCTCCAGGTTGTCCTTGAACTCCTGTTCCTTCAACCTCAGCCTTTTAATTCTTGAAGTTACAAGTATAGTTCCACCTTTGACTGTCTTAAAAATTTCACTGTAGCTTAGAAGATTTTCATAGACATTCACCAGCATTATTTTAATTTTATTTTTTTTCAGTTTATTTACCTTAGATCCCAAGGGTGCCTCCTCCATCCTCTCCTTCCTGTTCTCCCTGTCCCTTTCTCCACAGAAAAGGGGACTCCCCTCCCTCCATATCGACTCTCCCCAGCACAACAAGCCCTATCAGGACTAAGCATATCCTCATCCCGAGGCCAGACAAGGTAGCGCTGCCAGGGGAAGTGATCCAAAAGCAGGCAATAGAGTCCACCAACATCAGTTTTAAAGCTTCAGTGCCCTCTTTCAACATAAGGGAGATTGTGATTATTTTTTCACCCCTGAAACATCACCTTTTTCATGTTTTCCAATTCCTGGCTCTGTTGATTCTTCCTATTAAAAAGAAAAAAAAACCCACTCTGTAACACATTAATTCACTTTATTCACCAATATGCAACTACCAAGACCATAATGTTTACTGTGTCATCAAATGATAAACAACAGTACTGCATCAAGCAGGGAATCATCAAATAAGAACAGAAATGAATTATCCACTATTTTTGCGATGGAAATGATTATTGCTAGGAATACATAGAAAAGTCAGTTGTTACTTTGAAACCTAGCTATAAACACAGGGTGCTTTTATCAAGGTCAGAGAAGGTAAAGGCAGGTGTGCAGGCTGTTTTCTGCACCCAGGCCAGGGTAAACACAAGTTAAGGCATGAAAACAACAGAAAAAGAATATGAAAATTGTGTGCTCAAACTGTAATACAGTCACTGGGTATAGCATGGATAGATCAGGCAGAATCCCGGGGAGCCATAGAAGATCTTTTGTGTTTGTGTGTGTGTGCATGCTAGAGTATGAAATTCCCATTTTCTGTAATAGAAGTAGGTAAAAGCCACCCTTCCAGCTGTGAAACAAACCTGAACATTGTGTGGGGTGACATCATGACAGAAATGAATATTTTATATATTTACATATTTATTATTTGAAATTTTTATATGTGAACACAATATTGGATAATATCCACCCCAGATAGTTATCACATCTTCCTCCCAACTTCATGGTCCCATTATTTTTAAGCCACGGATCCACTAGTGCTGCCAATAAGGGCATGAATACAGGGGAATGGGCAACTTAGCAGTGGCCACATTCCTGAAGAAAACCAATCCTTCCTCCCCATAAATCATAGCCTTAAATCACTACTATCTCCTCAGCTAGGGGTGGGGCCTTCGGAGTCCCTCCTCCTTTCTTGCTAGAGTTTTTAATTGGCTCAATCTTGGGCAGGCCTTGTGCAGGTGACCACGGGTGAATGAGTTCATGTGTGCGGCAGCCTCACCCTGTCCTGAGCACAACATTCCACAGTCTCCCTTTCCATCCCTTTCATCTCACATACTTTCTTTTCCCTTCTCCAGGGTATCTACTAAGCCTGGTTGGGGGCGGTGTTTGTTGTATTCATGAACCTACTGAGAAAGGCATGAAAAGATGAGGAGAATATGAAAATACTGGTGAGCGCTGGGCTGGGGGTATTAGGGCTGACGGAGTCAAGGTTTTCTATGCTTCACAGTTTGAATTCTACTTCCCTGTTGTCATGTGCTGGGATGGGGAAAGTGGGTGGCTGAATAGATGAGTAAGGAGATAGGGAAGGGTCAGGAGAGGGTGAATACCAACGCCTTTATTTGGAGCTTACCACACCTATTCACCTAGAAGAGTTAGAAACAGGCCAGAATAATAGGCTAAGTTTTTGATTTGAAGATGTGACTCAGGAAAAGCTTATGTGTTTAGTAAGATGAATTCTTACAGTATGTATCTCAACTGTAAAAATGAACCATGTAAACCATAGCTGATGTTTGCCTTCAAAAGCGGGCCCGGGGAGGGGGAAGATAGCGAGATAGCTTCATCTTTTTAGTTATGTATTTCTACATTTGTTTCAAAGTTAAAAAAAATTTTTTTTGTTAATGTGTCGGGTTATTTCTGTGAGACCATGCTATCCGGCATTTTAAACTTAAAAAATGGGATCTTCTATTTCAACCAACCCTATAGACTACACGAATACTTCTTCCTAAAAGTAATTTTTGAAGACTCAGCTTTTAGGTGAGGCTTGGTGACATACACTCATTATTCGAAGAGTTCAGGAAGCTTCTTAAGCAAGGACCACTCCCTACTGTAACTTGCCTGACATATGCAAAGTGCTGGGTCTCCTGGCATTAACAAATACATTTTTTTTTTTTTTTTTTTTACAATTTGAAAATATTTTGTGCATGTAATTTTGTTCACATTTGGAATCTTGTCTTAAGTGTGTTTTGCATGTGAGAGTGTGTGAATGTGTGTGTGTGTAGAGAGAAACAGAGAGAGAGAGAGGAGGTAATGAATTCACAATTCTTCAACAATATGGCTACTTCAACAAAATGGCTACTCCTGTGGTCAGACCCTTGCCATGTCCATATGGCTAGCACTGGCTGGGCTCAGTAGGATGCACATATTTAAAAAAGGAGAAAAGCACATGAATTGAGAGAGGCATGGGGCTGGAAAGAGTTGAGGGGGAGCGAGGGGATCAAATGCATTTTAATCACTCACAAGGGAAATTCAGAGAACGTTAGAGGAGAGAAAGTCAAGGACACAGCAAACACTAAGTCAGAAGACATGAGAAAGAAGAGTAAAAGGTTAATCATTCATGGGCCACGTGGGTAAAGTGCTCGCTAGGCAACATGAAGACCTGAGTTTGGATCCCCGGAATCCACACAAAACTGGATTCAGCAGTGTCCACCTGTAATCCCAGCACTCCTACAGTGTGAGGAAGGCAGAGGCAGGACAACCTCCAGACGCTTGTGAAACCCTGCTTCAAACAAGGTGGAAAGGTGAAGACTCGCACTTACAGCTGTTCTCCGACCTCCACACGTGTGCTGTGGTGTGCATGCTTTCATGTACATACACGCACAGAGACACACACATCACACATGTGCATGCACTGAAAGACAAAAAGTTAGCCATTCATAATAAAAAGCCAGCTATAGGTCATGTAGAGAAACCCAGTATTTTCATACTTTCTATGCCTTCTTTAAATTCACAGTTTCTATTGTGGTTTCATCTTGATTTTTGTATTCAGTCTAGACATTCATCTCTCTCTACTTAAATGAATTGTTTGTATGTCCAGGATTTTTAAGTGGATTATTTCCTTTATCTTCAGCTCCAAATTGATCAGGGATCAATCAACTCCTAACGCACTAACCCCTAATTAACACACTACGTCCTGTCCTAACTTACTACCTCCTAACTCACTACTTCCTTGATAGTTTATACAAGAATTATTCAGCCAACTCTCATACCTCTCAATCTTGTAGCATATTTATAGTTATTATACTTCTTCTATCATGTTCTTGTGACCTTTTATTATTCATTTCAGGCTCCATGTTGTTATTGTGTACACCAGAGAAAAAGATGTGAAGAAAACATAAAAAAAAAATAATTCTTTCACATTTTGAGAGAGGGTCTTGTTATATAGGTCGATGGCTTACTATCCCTATGTAGCCCAGGCTGGCCTTAAACCCGTGTCGATACTCCTGCCTCAGCCTTCTGAGTGCTGGCATTACAGACACACAATACCACCTCCAGGGAGAATTACTTTTAGGGTACTGTTGGTATAAAGTTCGTTTGGAATGTATACACTTTACCCTTGTTTATTCAAATACTGATTTCTCTCCCCCACTCTCTGGTTTCAATCCAGACATTGCATTGTAATGCTTATTCTAAGCATCACCTGTCTCAACTTTGTGTAAACATGCCAAAATAAAGCAACTAGCCACAATGTTGAGCAAGGGAAAGGAAGCAGGAAGAAAGGGAGGAACCAGAGGACAGGAAGGTGTGGGAGGCAGAGGAGGAGGAAAGGCAGAGGCTGTGAGAGCAGGGGCAGGAGCAGAGGTCTTGGAAGATGTGGAGAATGAACCGGACCTAAGATTTCACAAAAAGCAAGTATAATGGGTGAATCTAAATGTTAGGAAATTATGAGGGCTTAGAGGTTTAGGATGGAGTAACTGTTGCCCAGCATTGTGTTCTAGGTTAAATCCCAGTCTCTGTGTGGTGATTTGGGTATACAGCTGTTTAGGATTAACAAAAGCATTATTAAAAGATAATTAATAGTAAATTTTAACAGCAACTTACAACAGGGTACCTTACTTTTGGGTCAGATGATGAGCTGGGAAGCAGAGAGAGACATTGGATGCTGACTGTTCTTCCTTTTAATTCACCGTGCTCACTCTCCTCCTCCATAATCAAGACACTTATAGAATGATAAATAAGGAAGACAGGCATTAGAATTAAGGTACTCAAGTTCAAATCTCCTTCCTGTCCCTTACCATATGCAAATGAGTCACTTATATTTATGAATTTCAGGTTTTCTATCAAAACTACATTTTTGTTAAGATATTAAAAACAGGCCAAAGGGCTGGCAATGTGTCTGCTGCCAATCTGAGAAAGGAAGAAAGCTGTCTTCTGACCTCCGCTTGGGCACCATGGCATGTGCATGTACAAACAAAAAGACAGATAAATAGATAAATGAATAATTAAATAGAACAGGTTGAAGTACCAGAGCATATTTTGATTATAAGTTTTCTTAAAATCCTTAAATTATATAGATTATTATATATATAATATATAAAATATATAAATTATTATAAATTATAATCCAAAAATTATATTTTTGATTCCATCTACAGACAGGAATATGTAACTGGCATAAGTGGAAAGTAAAAAAAAAATATGAAGTCAAAGAAGAGCTGAAATGAAACAAACATAATAAAGAAAAGATTATAGTCATCAAGGGAAGAAAATGAGTTTTATAAAAGGGAGAACACTTTAGGGGATAAGGCATGAGTAATGGCCTAAGGAAAACAACACTGGGAAATAGTAAGTAGAGAAAAAAAAATTCACTAAACTCATGCTAATTAATTAAACACTGCACTTAAGATTTCTTTGCTTCCATTAAAATAATCTTCTACAAGACTTGCCTTGTGTTCATGGCCACGGCTGAGTGAGATCTGCCCTAAAACTTTTCAAGGTTGAAAACAAGGTATTGGGGCTTTAGCAGGAATGGGAAGGGAATAAGAGAGGGTGATGGGAGGTGAATGTGGTCAAAACATATTGTATATTTATATGGAATTATCTAAGGAAAAAAATAAAGATATTGCAAAAACAAAGCCAATTAAAAAAAAAAGCATGGCGTTAGTGCCATTGCACTTGTCAAAAACCCTTGGACTGGCAATGCCCAGGAAAATTCCAAGCCAGGCACTTTATGACTGGATCTTGTAGTTTGAGCTGAACTGATATGGGCATGTATCTTTGGCCCAACACTACACAGCCCCCATCATTCTATGCATAGAGGCAAGAGAAGCACAGGGGAGCCAGCTGGGTCACCTACATGTCAATTATGAAACCATAAGCCATTTACTCAAGTTGTATGCATGACAGTTACCTATCTGGTAAAAAACAGATTACACCCACACAGACACTTTCTAAAGCTCTTGTAACAATCAAAACAGTTTAACAATCCAACAGTACATCCATGCCAGAGTTAAGCATTAAAAAAATATTTTCTTTTTTTTGTTCTCTAATCAGTTATCAAGTCTTGAAAAAATGCATAAAATTGTACCTTCTGGGAGAATCATCCTCAGAGCCTTCTTCCACTATTAAAAATAAAAGTAGAATGAATTTACAATCTTCAAGAGGACAACGGAAACATTACAAGTGTTAAGACTGATATTTTATTAGAAGTATTGTTGGCTGTTCACGCTGATTTAAGTGGCAGGAAAAGGCTTTCACACCGTAGACTCCCTTGGTAAACTTTTCATACTTGTAAAGTTTGCAAACATTAACGGCAGGGAAAGTGGCCAGGCCCCTGCCTGAGGAGCTCCAGCAGCCACGCTATCACGATATATATATAGTTAGCAGAATCCCTATCATAAACCAACACTGTCCATCAAGTGGCCTTTATGAACTAGGGACACAGGGACAATCCTAAAATACCACAGTCATTTCATTAAGACATGGCACAGATGCTTCAAATTTTCACTTCAAATTGTTCATTTAGAATGAATAACTGTCACAAAGATGCCAGGCCTAAGGGTACTTGCACTTAGCAGCATGCTAAAGCACAAAGTCAGACGGGGCACAAAGACCCAGGCAGAGACTTTCTAGTTGCCACGGTGAAGATCTCAACAGTGCTGATTAAAATTCCAGCACAGGAAGGTGAGGAGCTCCTGAGGCTGAAGTCCTGGCTGAGGAGCTCTTGGCAGCTGATGTTGTCTGGGGAGGAAGAGTTGCTTTTCCTGGGGCATGTGCCCACTGGTAGGTTGCTCATGGCTAGTAGTTAGCCCCACCTCTATGTGCATGTGGGTATTACTAACTGGACAGAGTAGATTAATTTGAAAAAAAAAACAAAAACAAAAACAAAAACAAAACACGACAGAAACAAAAGACAAGACCTGAAGTTGGTAGGGAGATGTGTTTGGGGGTTTAGAGGTGGGGGGCATTAGGTAGGGAAAGCGGTGATAGTGGTGGATGTTGGCCTTCCTGCTCGGATGTGAGGGTATTCTGGGACTTGGAAGCCTAGGACCACACAGCTCTGAGGTGGGGCAATGTCCCAGTGGAAGGGTATGTAAGACGCTGGAACCCAGGAACCTCACACCTCTGAGAGGAGGCCTCCTCAGCAGAGGTGTTGCGGCTCCCAGGGGAGGGTATCCCCAGACGGGCTCAGGAGTTCAGGAGTCTCAGCCCTGCTCCATTTCTTTGCTTCTTTTTCTCTTCTTTTCATGGCTTCCGGGCTTCTTCCAGTGAAAGTCACAGCAGGCAGCAAACCTCTTAAAGATTTATTGGAGGGACGAATCCAGGAGTAGCTGCCTCTGCTCTTGGGAGAAGGTAGCAGGGAACTGAGCGGATACAGCATTTTTATAGGATTTCTTAGGGAGTGGAGCTTTCTTGGGCAGAAAACTATGAGTTTTAGGCCAGACAGGCATACATATTAAGAACAGTTGTTTGTTTGTTTTTATTTTTAGGAGAAGAAAAGAAGAATGAATGCCTTTCAGCATGTGGAGAATATTATTAGGCTCAACTCCTAGTACAAAAGAAAGGAGAGAGAGAGAGAGAGAGAGAAAGAGAGAGAGAATGAAAATGGCCCTCATAGATTCGCAGGGAATGGCTTTATTGGCAGGGTGGCCTTGTTGGCCTAAGTGTGCTCTGGGAGATGGGCTTTGAGGTCTCAGAAGCTCAAGCCAGGCCTGGTGGCTCACTGTCTCTTCCTGCTGCCTGCCAATCTGGATGTAGCACTCTCAGCTCCCTCTCCAGCATCATGTCTGCCCTCGTGCTGCCATGCTTCCTACATGACAATAACAGACCAAATATCTGAAACGTAAGCCAGCCCCAATTAAATGCTTTCCTTTATAAGAGCTGCTGTGATCATGGTGCTTCTTGACAGCAATAGAAACCCTAATTAAGACAGGTACTTAAGGTTATTTATTTATTTATTTTAAGACAGGGTTTCACTTGTAGTCCTGGGTTAGCCCGGAACTTACAGAGATCTTCCTGACTGTACGTTTTGAGTACTGGAATTAAAGATTTGCAACAGTATGTTTAAACATGCAAATGAATATGTGATCTGGTCACTCTGAAAATAAAAAAAAGCACACCTCTGCTTCAGGGCGTATATACAAAGGACGCCACAGAGACAGTCACATATTTATGGATAGTGCAGCCCTAGTCATGATAGGCAAGCTATACATCCAAAATAGAGAGAATGTGGTCTTAACACACAGAGACATTTTATTCAGCTACAAAGAATGGAATTATGTCAGTTGCAGGAAAATGGATGCAGGTGGAGCTCATTATATTAATGGAATTAGACTAAAAAAGACAAATATCGCATTTTCTCTCCTCTATAGGCCCTAGGTTTTATACAGGCACATAGAATCATATATATATATATGACATGAAAGTGGAAGTGAGACTGGGTGGTGAAATGAACAGGTGGAAGACGGAGGATGGAGATATGTACAGTCAAAGCATATGATATGCAAAAATGTCTTTGTAAAATCCATCACTATGTGCAATTAATATATGGCAACAAATTTATAATAAGCATTGAAAATTACTTCCAGAGCTAGTTATAGAGAGATGAAGTGGCACACATGGAACTTTAGGATTAGTGAAACTGCTCTGGGGTAGTTTACTCTGTAGTAAACAAATGTGGTATACATTTGACTAAGTCCATAGGATGAACAAAAGCAAGAGTGAACCTAAACATAGACACAGTGCCATTAGAGGATGATGGTGGGCCGCTGTAGACTAATCAAATGTAATAAGTGTACAATCCAGAGAAGACTAGGAAATGTACTGTGCGTGTGTGGGAGGCACAGGTGATTAGAACTTGAACTTAGCTTTCCTGTGAACCTGAAACTGCTCTAAAAATAAAATAGTAGGAGCTAGGAGAACGGCTCAGTGGCAGAGCACTTGGGTAGCATGGGTGAGACTCTGGGTTCAACCCGTAGCACCCCCAAAAATTATTGTTTTCACTACTATTTTCTGCTTTATCCTCTTCAAATGATAGGAGGTATCAGAAACTCAAGTAAAAATAGACACAAATGTATGTGTCTTTATATATTCTGCATATATCCACACATATACTTTTTAAATATGAATAAAATTGTATATCGTTATAATATACATAATAAACTTATAAATAATAAAATTATATATACATATATAAAACAAGAAGTGGGTAAAAGAAAATGTATCTGTCTCAACAGATGCATAAACTATAGCACAGTAGCAGAAGAAACATGAAAAAAAAAAAACAATACAACATCGCCAAAGGTTCCTCAATAACCCAAATCAAAGACACTACAATGATCAAAATGTCTAAGAATTCAAAGGCATAGAGATTCAACGATTGACAATGTCAAAGAGGATTAAAATAAACAAACAACTAAAGTAAGAAGGTAAATTCAGGTCCCAAATAAGAAACTTCACAACATGGACAAAAACAAACAAACAAACAAACAAACAAACAAAAAACAGCAAGAAAAATGACATTTTAAAAGAAAAAGAACCTAGAACTGTTAGAAATAAAAATATCAGCCAACAAAATAAAAACTATAGAGGAAAACATTACCCAATATCCAGGCCAAGCAGAACAACAACATCAATGATTAAATGCAGCTGAAAAATACTACATTCAGGTAGCAACAAAGACCAGAGAATTGAGCGTGACCACCACATTAAAAAGCTCTGGGATATGATCAACAGACCAAGCGTAAGAATCTGTGGAGTAGAAAGAAGTAAGATGAAAATGAAGATGTAGAAAACTGTTTAATGAAATTTTAGCAGAAAAAAATTTCAAATCTAGGGAAAGCTATGACACAAAACATGCAGCATTTAGGAACTTAAATGGATGTGACCAGAAAAGAAAATCTGTCCTCATCATATTATAATTAAAGCATTAATTATCCAGGATAATGAAATGACATCAAAAGCTACAAGAGAAAAATATTAACTTACTTAGTCAAATTCATTCAGTAACACCAGATCTCTCAGGAGAAATCCTAAAATTCAGAAAAGTAGGGAATGATACAATTTAGTTCTGACAGAAGATATCAGCCAACTAAGTAATTTTATACGGCAAAGTTATTTTTCACATACACTAAATCAGCAGTGCAGAAAATTCTTAAAGGAACCGTGCAAGAGGATAGGGAAGGATAGATACAAGTATGGTCTCATGAGTTTCATGAGTGAAGTGATAACCAAGAAAGACCTAGAAAAGAATCAAACATCTTGAACTAAAAATTTACCAAGCCTCTAGGATGAATAAGAGAAAAAATATATACATATATACAGTACATGAGTCAATCAGATTTTCTCTCCAGGAATCAGCAAACCCTTCTCAGTAATAACCACAAATGTAAAAGTCTAAAGTAGGCCATAAAATGATGGTGGCTAGCAGATTGAGTAAAACACAGGATGTAGCGTTGCCTGCAACAAACACATCTAACTGGGAAGGACACACAGAGAGAGACTAAGATGGAAGAACAGAAAATGATATTCTGTGCAGATGGAACATCATGCCAAGCAGAAGTAGGCACACTTGTGTTTGGCGAAATGTGTTCCACAATGTAACTAATTATGAGAGATAAGTATCACTACATACTAATGAAAGGGCCATTACACCAAGAAGATATGATGATAGTAAATGTGTGTGTACCTAACATTGGCATACCCAGTTTCATAAAGCAAGCACTATTGGACATAAAGAGACAAGTAAGTATGACACGAACATGTGGGCAACTTCAATACCTCGGTATTATCAATAGGTTGTCTAGACAAGAGCCAGAAGAGTAAGATCAATGTTAACTTGTATCACAGATCAAATGGACTTAAAAGACATTCACATATTACACCCAACAGCTATGAAAAACGTCACCTCATGAAACTTGCTTTGAGATACATCTCACTTTAGGCCATAAAGCAAGCTTCACACATAAAAAAATAATTAAAATATTTATCCTGTTCTACATTACTAAAATCCATAGACATACTACAATGTGCAGACCACATGAAGATAAATCACAAGGAGGACCCTAGGGAGAACATGTAAATCTCAATCAGAAGGGGAAATAGAATAGACAGAAGTAATGGTGGAAGAGAAAGAACAAGGACCATCAGAGCCCATCAACCAGGGCCCAGAAAGGCCTATGGAGTCTGAAGCACCAACCACAGACAATGCATGGTCTGGACCTGGGTCCTCTACTTATAAATACCTGATGGGCGTCTGAGGCTTCATGTGGGCCCAGGAGTCAGGGGAGTGGGGGATATCTCTGACATGGACTAGGTTATCTGCTTTTTGATCACTTCCCCCTGGTGGGACTGCCCTACTAGGCCACAGGGAAGAAGATGAATTCAATCCTCATGTGATAGATGAGCTGGGGTGTCTTGGTGGAGGGGCTCCCCTATTCTGAGGAAATAGGGGAGGGAGGATGTGGGACCTATGCCCGGGATGTAAATTGAATTAATTTATAAAAAAGAATGAAATATCTGTATATCTTATCAGATCTTTAGGGAATGAAGCTAGAAGTCAATTGCAATAGAAAACTAAAGGGACCTTGCCAGCTCACAGAGATTAAACAACACACCTGCGAGGGATCTGAGGCCACAGGAGAAATCGGGAAGGGACACCGAAAGGTGAGTAAGTAAGAAAATAGTTGATAATAAAATATTTTGTTTTAATTACACATATCACCTTTCACTGACAATTACTTCATAATATTCATCTAGTAATTGCAGTCTAATTATTTCAAAAGTTAAAAAGAAAATCCATTTTTATAATAAGTCCAGTTGCTGCAATGGATCTGCTGAGGAACTATGCAACACGGTAATTTGTAAATTGTTCTACTACAGAATTTCAGTTTCCAGAATCACTAAATGGACCTTTCTCCAGATAATATGCTTTCAGGATGGGAATATCCTACAAGTTAATTTCCTGAAAATATGTGAATTCCGGACTACTGATAATGAAATAAAGACCAACATAAAACGTTTTATGCATTGATGTTTCTAAACCTGCTGTTATTGAAATAGCCTCTTAGTTTTAAAACCTAGGGTAGCCACAGCTGCAGTAACTCTTACCTGAGTTGACTCTTTTGGACTCCTCACATCTCTTTTCTTTATATTCAAGAAGGATTTCCATATTGCTTTGTAAAAATGATGAGTAAAGTTACTATCTTAATACTGACGTGAAAACCAGTTGCTAAGTGTGTTAAATTCTTCACAGCATTGCAGGTAACATCAGAACTTTATCCCACAAAGCATCAGTGGTGTAAGCACAACAAGCCTTTACAGCTAAGTGTGTGCTGTCAGGAGGCCCCAGGAACAAGCTGGCAGCTGGTTGTCTCCAGGACTTTAGCTCCAGTTTTCATGGCGGCCCTGAAGCAAGAGAAGGAACAGAAAACAAAGCCTCCCTTTCTGCCAACTCCATCAAATTTGAGCAAATCACTGGCTTCCGGGGACATTTGAGCAGGTGTGTGTGGAAGATGGATTCTGGTAGCAAAAGCATTTTATGTTAAACTAGACATTTTTAGACTCAACTAGATCATTAGGAGAATCACAGATGTGGCACTATTTCTAGCCTGTGCTCGAGGGGGGAGTCTTGGGATAAACAGTTCTGGGATTCTCAAAAATAAAGATCTTAAAAGTCCCAAGATAGAAGCTGGGGGCGGGGTAAAGCTCAGGGGTAGAGGTTGGCAAGCATGCATGGGGCTCTGGGTTCAGTCCCCAGAACCACCAAACAACAACAAAAACAACCACAAAAGTCCAAGGTGATGAATCTGTCACCCACTGCTACCTCCAGGGCGGCCTTTGCTTGATAACTGCTGAATGTACAGTAACTCCCCGCCATTCTAAAAGTATCTGAGCTGAAGTAAAAATCTCCCCCTGAGGTATAAGGTGCACTATTATAATGATTTTGAACCTCAGTGTAACAGTAACTAGCATTTAATGTGAACACTTACGTGTTATATTTAAAGTCAGCAGCGTAATCGATTGCAGTCAGTCCAAAGGCATCTTTCAGAAAGAGGTCTACACCTTCCTGAAGAACAAATCTGACGAGGTTTGTGGAGTCGTGACTTACAGCATGCATGAGGGCTGTTCTGAAAAAGCCGGCAGAAAACACCTCCCTTAGCACAGTGAGGAAATTAAGGACCAGTTTGTATTTGGCTGTATCTTGAGTGGAATTGGCTGTTGGAATGCAGCAGACAAGCGTCTCAAGGTCTAGCGAGCTTAGGAAGAAAGCAAGCACGAAGCCTCCTACCCCAATGAGACAGACAACTCATCGTAGATGTTACTAACTTAAAGCCTGCGCTACACGGCAGAGCTCTTGTCTTAGTCACAAACGCACAAAAGCGAGGCACCGAGCAAGATCTTTCTCCATTTCCCGTGCAGGCAGCTGAAGGGCGGATAAGAAAAAACTATCTGTGTGCCTCAGAGCATATTATTCACGAATGGTGGCACCAACACACTTGCCATCCCAGGACTAAAGGAGGCTGAGGGGGGAGGATCGCTGCGGGATAATCGTGGTCCGCAAGATCTGTCCAAGCTAGACTGTGTCGTGAGGCCCTGTTTCCGGCGACAGTGGCCGGAGTGACAGTCACAGTCATTTCGGAAGCCGACGTTCACCGGCGCTCAACTCAGCGTTTAGGCACGGAACTAAACGCTACAACATAGAGAAACTTCTACCCACAATTTTAGGATCAATGACGCCGCTTTTCGCTGAGGGCAACATGTTAGTGGCAAATAATGTTCCTAAAGTCACACACGTGGCAAGGGGGAGGCCAGGAACATAAAGCCTGCTTTCTGCGACCCTAAATCCAATGTCCTTTATCTTTACACCACCAACACAGCTTATTTTCTTCCCTGTACCGACACCAACCCCAAGTGAAGACACCCGAGTATGTTAAAATGAAAATACAATAATAGGAAATAAAGAAATATGAGCGGCATCTAGAACTAACAATTAAGAGTCGTTTAGGGATGATATGATCGGATATTCTTTAAAGAGCATTTCATAGTTCCTTGAAGGAGTCATTCCAAAGACAACACAATCTATATCCCATTTCTACTTACTGTAGCTTTTTAAAGCAAAGTGTATAAAAATCAGAGGTTAAAATTCTACAAATGTTTAAGACATTTAATATTGAGGCAAATTAAAAAAAAAAAAGAACTAAGTCTGTGTAGTATCAAGCTAGAATAAAACTTATGGAAGCCCATCAGTTGCTACAAGACTACATGGCTGGCAAAACCAGTTATCAGTAAAAATGTAAGGGGATAACCACATGCTATAATATATATATATACAGTTCTTCGTGTTGTCTGTTCTGAATAATTTCTTTTTTGCATAGTACTGATGACTGGTGTTGAGGTTTTTTTTTTAATATCTCAATGATTGTAAGTTGTTCTAGTTCCTATTAATTCAATCTTCCTTCCTTCCTTCCTTCTTTCCTTCCTCTTTCTTTCTTTCTGTGTAGTATCAAGCTAGAATAAAACTTATGGATGCCTTTCTGTTTTCCTATCTCTCTCTCTCTCTTGCCCTCCCTCCCTTCCTTTCTTTTTCTTCCTTTTCTCTCTCTCTCTCTCTCTCTCTCTCTCTTTCTTTCTTTCTGTTCCTTTTTCTCAAGACATGGTTTCTGTGTGTAGCCCCGGCTGTCCTGGAACTCACTCTGTAGACCATAGCCTCTAACTCAAAGATCCACCTGTCTCCGCCTCTTGAGCACTGGGATTAAAGGCATGGACTATCACTGCCCAGCTAATCCAATATTTCTGAGTGCTTGTCACCACTATACACCACTACTAAGGGTTAAAGGATTATAGTACCTTCTCTGGTTATCAACTGCATGCCTATTGGCATTCTTCATTAATAAAAACTTTGCCATCTTCAGTTTGTTTTCACTGACAGCCAGTAAAAATGGTGTGAAGCCACTCTGTAAAAATGACAAACACACTTAAAACTCATGAAACCCACATATTTGTCAGTTGAATCGAAAAGTTGTAGAAAAGCTCTCTGAATACAAGGAGGAAGACACAGAAAACATAATCCGTGTGCCCCCTCCCCCATGTGCCGTGGGAGCTCTGGTCCTCTCTAAATGTCCATGCTCTCTGTGTCCCAGAGAATTTGTCTCCGTTATGGTGTTTATCACAGCAGTTTGGAATTACATGACTGCTCCCATGTAAACCAACGTCTTGTTTTATGTCCGTGGTCTCGGATGCTAATCCACGGTGGTAATACTGTACATGCCTTATTAAGTTAGTGAATTACGCCATCATCTCCAGAAGAGGGCTTGTAAATCCAACCTCCAAAGAACATCTACTCCTGTGTCACACAGAAAAGGCTTATGATTCCTTTGAGAATTATTATAAAATTGTATATTATACATCTAGTATCAAAAACTCTTTTAAACGTGATTTTTCTAAGTAACTTTTTATTTTTTAATTAGTTAATTTTATTATTTGTGCATTGGTGCTTGGCCTGTATTCATGAGGGTGTCAGATCCCCTGGAACTGGAGTTACAGACAGTTGTGAGCTGTCATGTAGGTGCTGAGAACTGAACCCATGTCCTTTGGAAGAGCAGCTAGTGCTCTCAATTGCTTAGCTATCTCTCCAACCCCTAATTTTTTTTTTTTTAATCTTTGCTCAATTCCTACTTGGCAATACTGCTGCAAACTGAAATTGGCATTAGAGAAACTATAGCTGCAGGACACATTGTGAAGATTTTTCTCTTGAGGTAATTTACTCCAGGTTGCTGAGGAGTCTTTCTTGTTTCTCTTCTTTTATGGTGTCAGGATCCCAGATGCAAACATGTCAGGCACTCCCGAAAGGAGCTAATAAGGAAATGCTTCTGAACTAGAAGACACTGCCTTCAAGTGACTAGATGCTTTGTGAGTTTTCTTTGATTGTGTGATAAATGGTTTTTTTTTTTTTTTTTTTTTTTTTTTTTTTTTTTATCTTAGATATCTGAAAGCTCAGCACAAGGGGAGATGGTTCAGCGGATAAAAAGTTTGCTCTCCAAGCATGAGGACCTGAGTCCAGACCGTCCCACAGTGCCCATATAAAAGCCAGATGTGGCGGTACTGGGAGGTAGAGACAGGAAGATTCCAGGGGCTTACTGGTCAGTCAGATAAAAAAAAAAAAAAGAAAAAGGAAGCAATAAAAGAAGACACATGATGACCAACTGTATCCTTTACATCTGCATGTACACTCAAAACTCAAATACAAATTTTATTCTTATTATGAGAATTTTTTTAAAAAATATTTATTTATTTTTATGTGTGAGTGATTTGTTTTCACACACCTAGAAGAAGGAATCAGATTCCATTACGGATCGTTGTGAGTTACCATGTGGTTGCTGGAAATATGAACTCACGACCTCTGGAAGAATAGCCAGTGGTCCTAGCCACTGAGCCATCTCTCCAGCCCCACCTATAATGACAATTCTAAGACCATATTTAGCAAATATTTTTCATATATCCTTATTCAATGTCTAAATTCTAAACTCAATCTCACTTCTAAAAGACCAATATAAAATATTGATGATGTTCTTATTGCTTAATCATTTAGAAAACCCTGGAATATTTATCAAAACATTGTGAAAGACAGGTAAAAGTGAAATGCTTGGGGAGGTAGAGCAAATGATATAGATGAATACTGAACTGGGTAATTTGCAACCTGTGTGTCTCTCATACAGGAAGCCATGTCCTCTGTGTAGGTAAAAAAAAAAAAAAGCCACACAGGCTCAGAGCTGGTCCTCCACAAAGGTATATTCACACAGGCTGAGAGCTGTGTCTTCTACATAGGTATAAAACAGTCAAGCGTGGATTTTTCCTTACTGGTTTGGGGTTTTGTCTCAAAGGAGGCGAAAAAAAGAAAAACAAAAATCACTAATTGGAAATTGCATTCAGTTTGCCTGGGTACTGGCCAAACAGAGACAGGTCAATTCAAAGTGCAACTTGACTTCATTATATAAACTTTGGCAAGATATTATAGATTTGAGAATTTACAGTCTTATCCCAAGTCAGGGAAATACTCGTTCTTCCCTCTGGTTTCCCACTTAATCATCAGTAAGTCGTCAACCTGGCTTCCTCAGCATCGTCCTGAAATTGATTTCCACACCTAGTTAGGACTCCATGAATGTCTTTCCCACACTGAGGTGTTCAGACTGAACAATTACCTTAACATAGTTGAGGAAAATTCAAACAAAAAAGATGGAAGAAAGATATCAAAACCATGTTGGTCACTTGCTTAGTTGCTTCATTTCTAAACTGGATTGCGAAGCCCATTGCTGACCCCTTCCCAGTCTGCTATGTCCTTTCCAGCCTTAGCAGTGAGAGAGAAATCTCTTTGCCATAACTGGTCACTAACTTTGACAAGATTTCTTCTTGTTAAATGCTTTCGCTTTGAGTTTTAAGATAAACCCTATTTGCAAGGCAAATGATGCTTTCTTATGCTAGTTTTCAACGTAAGTCAGATTTACCTTTAACACATTCAGTGTTTTCACAGGTATTTACCATGCATGAATTTGTAAAAGAAGACTGTGCCTGCAGTGAGAATTCTGGATTTTTTTTTTAACACAGAAATAATATAAGAATGTGCTTACATTTTAATCCCAGCTGTAGGATGTGGGGCTGCTTTGGACTGTCCACAGCAGCTGACTATGATTCGCCTCGTGCTCTAGCAGAAGTGTGGTTTTGCCAGCTGCAGATAATTTCTGCAACTGTGTGACATTTGGAATTCTGAGACCCCTTTAGAGCGCACATAAACTCGAAGGCCCTGAGACGTAGGGTGGGTGGGTGGTTGTTGCTTAGGGAGGTTGGTTGAAGTTTGTTAGTAGCTGTGGTCCAAGAAGAAACGAAAGGAAAAAAAATTAGATTCAGGGATTTTTCCTAATTCCTCTCTCCCCTTTATCCTTGTTTTTCTCCTATCTAGTGTTAAGAGGTGAAACAGGGAGGCATAAAGTGTGGGAAATAAAAAAATTCCCAAAACAGCTACAAGTGACGCTCAAACATGTGGCTCAATAAAGAAAAAAATGAAAATTTTGATTTCAAATGCCATAAAGGAAATGGTAGGGGATGAAGGGATGGATATTCATTTTTCAAGAGGCCATCAAAAAATGTATTGTGGCTGCTATTGCTGGGATATCTCCTTCTTTGCTCCTACAGGAGATTTTCTGTTTTGGTTTTGTTTTTTTTTTTTATTCTTTGTATATTTTGTTTCAAAAAAGGTTGAAACATTAGCTGAGTAGTTGGAAAAATTGCAGGTGGAAATGGAGGGGCCTGAGAAACAAAATATGGTTGAAATGGGAAAACCAAAGGAGTCCCTCTGCTCTCTCTTTTCTGAAAGGGTTGCAGATTTGGCTGTGTAACTGGTGAGTTTGCAAGTGGAGATGGAAGCACTTGGCAAGTGAGGAGCGAAGAGAACAAAGAGGCTCAGTCCTGGTGACTGAGCAAGAGTGGGAGTTTCCCACAGGAGAAAAGAGGAAAAGAAACTGCCAGAGAGAGAAGCTGAAAAAGCAGGAGAACAATTTGATGAAACAACCTGTTTGGAAAGAAAGGGTTAATCTCAAACCAGCCATGCTGCCAGACTTGGGAGAGGGGTGGCCTTGGGTTATGAGATCGCCATCACCTTTCCCAGTAGTTGCATAGCTTGTTAATGTTGTGGGCAGGGTTGTGAAGAGATACGATGGCATCTTACAGAAATGATAGATCTAAGGCATTTTAAAGAGGTCTTGATTTCATATGGGATGCACTCGCCTTAAATGAAACAAATTCTAAATAACTGGGCTACTCAAAATGGAACTTTTTTACAGGACTTGAAAGAGATTGGTAACAGCTGTACTAGAGGTCTGAAGTTGCAGTGGTTAACACGGTGAAGGGAAGAAGCCACAGATACTGACCAGTGAAACAGAGCAAGGAGAATGAATACAGTAAAAGACCCGTTGCTGGGTGGAGGGCCGTACTCTGACATACAAGAACAGACTCAATTTGGTAATGTTACTATAGAACAATGTCACTTAGTGGCCTTAAGAGCTTGGGACAAAGTTGAAGAGCCTGGGAAAATGTTCACCTCATTTACCTTTGTAAATTATACAAGGCTCTGGAGAGGCCTTCCCTGATTTTTTTTTTTTTTTTTTTACAAAGATTAGCTGCAGCTGTGAACAAAGCCGTATCGGACCCTGGTGCAAGGCAGGTGCTGATAGAGACCTTGGTGTTTGAAAATTCGAATACTGAATGTAAAAATGTTATCAGACCATGGATGAATGGATAAGGACACGACTGATACTGGTTCTAACATATACCATGCTAATATAACAGATCAAGCTAGAGGTCTCTCATATCAAAGCACCCAGAGTGTCAACTGGGGAAATATGGTCACTGGCAAAGACACTGTGACCAAACCAAAAGCCTCAGATTTCAAAATTCCCATGCAATACAGTAATTTTCACTGGAAAAGTAAACAAGCTGTTTCTAAGAGCAGTGATTTTCCTAATTATCAGGCAGAAAGAATGCCTGTGCTTCCTGCAGTATGTGACTCAGCAAAGGCCACCATTAGGTTCAGAAATGCAGATTCAAAGAGGTATTCAAGATGATTTATTACCCCCAGAAAATGGCCTTGGGGTTCTGGATCAGGGCCCTGCTGCAAAAATTATGAACAGTTTGCCTCTTGTCAGCCAGGAAATAACATGCAGATTGAAAAAAAAAAAGTTACTAAGCATTGCAGATTTAATGCATACTACTGCAGCTGCTCTAGACTTGGTCAGAGATAATCATCTTATTCTACCCACTCAAACTCAATGTTATAAACTAACTACTGGAGTTTATGGTCCTTTGCCCTCAGGAACAGTAGAGATGATTTTGGGAAAGGGTGGATTCACTTCCCAAGGATTCGTTGTGCTTCTAGGAATTATGAATGAGGATTTCAAAGGAGAAATTTAAATGATGGCCCGTGTAAAAAGAGAGACGCAATTTAACACAGACGATAGGGTTGCTCAGCTGCTACCGTTTCCCTACATATCAATGGCAAACTATGGAAAACGTGTTCTGGCAAACAGTCATTAAGATTAGAGACTGAAACTAAAATTGCAGGTAAATGGCATTGAAAGAGAAGGTTTGTTGGATACAGGAGCTGATGGAACTATCATTTTACAAAAAATATTGGAATTCAGAATGGCCATTTCAAAAGATTTATACCCCGTTTCTAGGAACTGGAAAGTTACATCAGATAAAACAAAGTGTGCGATGGGTTAAATGCATGGGACAAGAAGGCCAAATAGGAAAGCTAAGGCCTTACATCACTGACATAGCCATAAATTTATGGGATTTTTATGACAGCAGGGTACTCAGATTAATATTCCTGCAAACGCAAAGACAGCCCATAATGAAATAAGGGGTGAAATGGTAGATGCTCCTGGGGAAGGTGTCAATATAAGTCATCAAAAACATCCCCAGGCTGTGCCAATTGTCCAAACCCAGGACGTAACAGGGATTGGGTTTCCATATTCATGAGGGGAGCCATCGCAGAAGTACCAACTGCTGCAAAATGGCTGACTAGGAAGTCTGTGTGGGTCAGTTGCTCTTAACTAAGGAAAACTTACAGGCACCTGAGCATCTAGTACAAGAGAAGCCTAGAGACACTGGGTTACAGAAGAACAAAACAAAACAAAACAAAACAAAAACCAAACAACTGTGGAATAAAACCAACCCATGTATTATAAGGATGTGTTAACATCAGAATGGAAACGAGAAAGTTTCGCGTTGGAGATGCAGATTTGCTTGTATTTCCACAGAAAATGAAAAGCTGTGGATACCATCAAAGCTGATGGTTAGAACTGAGCAGGAGACATTTCCTGAAAACCTTGGCCACTGACCTGAAAACATCTCTGTTTATAATTTCTCGCTACACACAGCACAATTAATGCCTTAAAAATGTAGTGACAATTCTGGAATTTTTGGTTTCTTTAAAAATCACAGAGATAATATAGGAACATGCTTTCATTTCAATCCCAGGTGTAGGATGTGGGGCTGCTTCAGACTGTCTGCAGCAGCTATGATTTACCTAGTGCTTTAGCAGCAGTGTGGTTTTGCCAGATGCAGACAATTTCTGCGACTGTGTGGAATTCAGAGGGCCCCGAGAGGTGGTGTGTGTGGTTGTTGGTCATTTAGGAAGGTTGGTTGTGGTTTGTTAGTAGCCGTGGTCAATGAAGAGACAAAAGGAAAGAAATTAGATTCAGGGATTTTCCTAATTCCTCTTTCCCCTTTATCCTTGTCACCCTCCTGTCTAGTGTTAGGGGTGAAACCAGGGGGATAGAGGGCGAGAAAAAGAAGAACCACAACGTAACAAAGACCAGCTTCCTATGGCCTCTGACACTTCTTTCAAATTATCAACCCTTAAAGATAAATGTTGGAGGCTGGGTGTGGTGGCACATATCTTTTGTCACAGCATACAGAGACAGGTGGACCTCTCCCGCCACTCCCTCTGCCCCTGAGTTCAAGGCCAGCCTGTTCTATACATTAAGTTCCAGGTTAGTAAAGTTTATATAGTGAAACCCTGTGTGTGTGTGATCCCAAGTATACACGAGCTTCTGAAGGTGGAAGATGGTGCTTGTATGTATCACTCCATGGACAAGAGTTCTGCACACACTTTGCAAATATGGATGGCTGATTAACACTCTCCTTATGTGTGGTCTCTACCTTATTTGTTGCTTCAATATTCACTTCATGGTCAAGCAGTTTTTCAGCTAGTGATGTATTCTTGTAATAGACAGCGTAGTGGAGAGCACTGTTACCCCGGACATCTACAATGTCTGGGTCAGCACCGTTCTCCAGCAGAAGGGTGGCGCATTCCTCTTCCTGACATTGCACAGCCTGTTGGAATTGCACCAAGAAACAGATCATAAATCCAAAGAATTCAGGCTAAACATCCCACAGGTTTCACCATCTATGTATTTTAATGACCTTCTCATTCCAAGTATTTTGCACGTATCAAGTACCAAGCCCATCTCATGCTGAAATCCTTAGCTGTTGCATACCTTCATCAGACCTGTGCACCTGTCACTGTCAATGGCGTTGACATCACACTTTCCCTCTATCAGGGTCATCACCACTTTCGGGTGGCCGTAAGCACAAGCGATGTGCAGTGCGGTCCTGTGAAAATGGAAGGGATGGCTTTTTTAGGATACAGCGTGACCTGCAAAATATAATCACTCAGTTCCTCTGTCTTCAAAATAAATATTTGCGGAGTGTTTTTCTAGCACCCTAACCTACAGTACCACATAGTCTGGGCATGGTGGTGAATGAAGTGAAAGCAGAAGGATCAGAAGTTGAGGCATCCTTGGCTGTCTAGCAAGTTTGAGCATAGACTGGGCTACAGGAGACATCACCTTAAAGAAAAAAGCTTAACTATTTCAGCTTCTGCAGAAGTTATAGTCTTGATTGTTATTGATCATCGTATCAATGAAAGGACAGTGTATTTGGTTAAAAGGTGTGTGTGTGTTTGTGTACGTGTGTGTATGTGTGGTGTGTGTGCCCATGTGTGTCTCCATGAGTGTGTGTGTATGGTGGTGGTGGGGTACTTAAAGTATTGTGCAGAGCAGTTTTTGTTAATTTGACAAGAGCTAGAATTATCTGGAACCAGAATCTCAATGCAGAAAAAGTCCCCATAAGATCTGGCCTGTAGGCAACTTTGTGAGCTGGGAGATATATGAGTTAATAAATCCTTTCTCCCCTAGTTGTTTTTGGTCATGGTGTTTATCTCAGCAAGAGGAAGCCAATGACAGGCATTTGAGGCAGGCGCTCTCTGACTGAGCTCTGCCCCGGATCAGGGCGGATAATCTGGATGGAAGAAGGTGTTCTTTGTAATTTGCTCCAGTTGGGTTTGTACCCTGCCTTAGGCTCTGTTACTTACTATCTATGTCTTTCCTTCCTGGGCCTCAATTTTTCTATCAGTAAAATGGGCATTGAAAATTGTAGCTGGGTAACAGTCCTCTGAGCAGCTTCACCCAGCAGCTGGTGGAAACAGACCCACAGCCAAATAGTAGCTGGAGCTCAGGAAGTCTTGTGGAAGAGTAAGGGAAGGATTGAGAGAGCCAGAGGGGTCAAGGACACCACAGGAGACCTACAGAGTAAACTAACCTGGGCCCATGGAGGCTCACAGAGATTGAACTACCAACCAAAGCACACACATGGGATTGACCTAGGTCCCATACATGTGTAGCAGATGTGGACCTTGGTTTTCATTTGGGTTTCCTAACAACTAGAGTGGGGGCTGTCTCTGACTCTGTTGTCTGCCTTTGGATCCCTTTCCCCAAGCTGGGCTGCCTTGTCTGGCCTCCGTGGGAGAGGATGAGTCAAATCTTATTGTGACTTGATGTTCCAGGGAAGGTTGGTACCCATGAAATGTGTGTGTGTGGTCCCTTCTCTGAGGAGAGGGAAAGGGGAGAATGGGAGTGTAAGGGGGATGGGAGGAGAGGAGGGGGCTGCAATTGGGATGTAAATAAATAAATAAATAAATAAATAAAGAAAGAAAGAAAGAAAGAAAAACTAAAAAGAAAATAGTAGCTGTATCCTAAGACCCCAGGATGATGAGAATTCCTATGAAATAGTTTTAAGTTTCTAGTACAAATAACAGTTGAGATGTTGACAGATATTGTAATTATCACTGCTGTGACCACTGAGAATGACAATGTTTCCAATAATTAGCAGAATCACCCCCATTCTGCAGGTTTTAAGGATTGTCTCACTCTGTCTAAAACACTCTCAATAAAGCCCACAATATATTCCCCTTGCTTTGAAAGACATTAAGTGTTAGCAGAAATATCAATTCAAGCACACAACACAAAAGCTCTCATAGAAGTGAGAAATCTTGCCTGAGCAGGGTTCGTAGTCTTATTCCTCCCAAGGATTGTTGTAATGGTAAGTGTTTGCTATAACTTTAATTCATGTTCATTGTCAAAGTCAAGGTACGTAACTTCTTTCAGAACAAACTGTACACTACTTTCAAGAACAGGACTCTGTAAAGGCTAAAATACAGACTTAATATAGGTTTATCTTCTAGTTTATGAAACTAAGTTATGAGCAAGCAGAGAGAACTGTTTGCTCTGAGAACTGGAGCTGTAACTACATAAGGAAAACAAAAGATGCAGTATGTTTTAACTGCGTGAAAATAATAACTTGTCATTGCTTTGGCTGGTAAAAGAGCAGATATTTTTGCATATATAATGTGTGTGTGCGAGTGTTTGACCTTCCAAACTGACATTCTTCTTACTTTATGCCGTCTCGACCCATTTCTATGCTATTGCCCAAGCTCCCATCTTTCTCTAGCTTATGCATGCACTGAGGTTTAAAATGTGTTCTGTGGCTTATTTTTAAACACATGCCATTTTAAATGATGATGAGAAAACAAATTGTATGTAAGCTCCATTATTTCCTAAAGATATTTCATATATGGTGGGGTACATAAAAATCCCTTGTCTTACCAGGGCCACTAAATATTTTTCCTATGTCCATATAAATATTTTTCATATGTCCAAGTTGTAGACTTCCAAATCTGTACTTTACTCATAAAGCAAGGGCTTGGAGTAGAGTGCTTTTACTAGCTCAGCAAGGCCCTGAGGGCTATTCACGGCAAAAGTAAGTATGAATAGTTAAGAGTTCAGTGCTTTCCTTGACTTGAAAAAAATTCTCTATAAAATGAAACTACATTTTCCATGTGCGACATAAGTAGCTTTTGTTTTGTTAAGATTTATTTAACCAGATCTCATTATAGATGGTTAGGGGCCACCATGTTGGGAATTGAAGTCGGGACCTCTGCCAGGGCAGCCAGTGCTCTTAACCCCTGAGCCATCTCTCCAGCTCCAGACAGAAGCAGTTTTTGTGACTGGAGGCTTTCTTTCATAAACCCCACCTCCTCCACACCCTCCCTTCCCTGGGCCCTGCCACCTCTTCTTCTTGTCTCTGTCGTTCACACCATGTTTCCCAAGCAGGAGTTTCCGCACTCTGATTGCATCCCCGACACGCGCAGCCTTGTGGATCTTTCTCAGATCCTTGTCTCTAAGGTGGTACTTGGGCGAGAGGAGGATATTGGCACTCTCAAACCCTGTACCCAAGAAGTGCCGCTGCTGATTGCGCAAGGATTCCAAGAGCCGCCGGCTCTTCTTGCAAGATAAGCCAGCCACTTTGGACATGGCCGAGGCTGCTGGACACAGAGGCCCCTTCACTCTGTCTTCAGTGTCCCACCCATGACCCGACGCTTCTGGAGAAGCCAACAGCCAGAGGGCGTGCCCGGATGCCAGGGAATCCCAACTGAGAAGCTCTCTGGCTTGGGATTGGTTAAAGGCTAGCGGTTGCCTAGCAACGGCGTAAACGCATCTGCTCTAGTGCTCCGCCAAGCAGCAAATGGTGCTCGGTGAGCCTGGGTGCCAGTCAATGAGAGATGTTCAGATATCTCGACTATGAGACACAGGCTTTCGGAAACACTGAACCTGACGACGCCCTCTGCAGGAAACTAGAATAGGAAGAAGAGAATCCACCTGTGCTGTCATCCAGGCCCTGGTTGTCGGTGGCCACCCCACGTGTGGGACAGCGTGCTGGTGGCCACAGGAGCACACGGCCAGGAGCACTGGTCAGATTCTGCACAGACAAGGGCGACAACTTGGGGGGCTGGAACTGCAGGCCTGGAGGAAACCGTCTGACCCTAGGTGTGTCTCCACACAGCCCAGAGCAGGGCTCACTGCCTTAAATGACATGTCCCCATCAAATCCCTCCCCTCAGAGCTCGGGAAACCCTGTGGAAAAGGAGGTAGAAAGAGTGTAAGAGTCAGAGGGGAAGAAGGACACCACCAACAACCAAAAACAAAACAAAACAAAACAAAACAAAACAAAACAAAACAAAACAACAAAACCCCCTTTAGGTCAACATGAGCAAAGCTCTTCTGAACTCACACAGAGGCGCGCGCCCAGGGCCTGCGTGGCTCTGCACCAGGTCCTCAGTGTGTGACGGCTTTCAGGTTAGTGTTTTTGTGGGATTCCTGAGTGGGCAAACGAGTGGGTCTCCGACTCTTACGTCTTCTTCTACGCTCTCTTCTTTTTGTTGGTTTTGCCCAACTTCTATGTGATAGTTTTTGTTTTATCTTATTTTTGTTATATTTTAAAAAAAAAATGAATAAATGAAACCCTAGCTGGTTGTGTAGGAGTAGGAGAGGATCTGGGAGGACTTGGGGGAGGGAAAGAATCTGATCAAAACATATTTAAATTTAAAAGTTGTCTTAAATAATAAAAATATAATAAAATTATTCCCTTAAACTGAATTTCTTTGGTGTTTGTTTTAATGCTTCCCTGTTCATTTTTGATTCTGCTAATTTGGGACATTTCTGTCTTTTGATTATGTAGGGTCAAGGCCTTATTAGTCTTGTTTATTTTCTCAAAGAGTCAGCTCTTAGATTCATTGATTCTTTTGTTTCTATTTCATTAATTTGTGCTGTTTTGTTTTTTTTTAAAGTTGCTTGCTGTCCACTGGATTTGAGTTTATGTTTTTGCAACTCCTTGGGAAGTAGTTTATTTGTGCCCTTTCTGGTTTTTCAATGTTGGCATTTAGAGCTATAAGTTTCTTTTATAGGAGTGCTTTTAACATGTCCTAGATTTTTTTTTTTTTTTTTTTTTTTTTGTTTCATGTTTTCATCTTCATTTCGTTCTGGGAATTAAAAAAAGAAAAAAGATTTTTTTTTGATTTTTTTTTCTTTGAGTCATTATTCAGTAATAAATTGTTTAATCTCCATGAGTTTGTGTACTTACTGGGGATGTGTTTGCTGTCAGCTTTAAGTTCTATTGTCAGATAGGATACACAGAGTTATTTCAAAATTTTCTGAATTTGTTTTGTGTCTCAGGATGTACTCTATATTAGGGAGTTTCTGGGTAGTATATATATTGTTTCTTGTTTGGGAGTAATATTCTGTAAGTATGTGTGAAGTCCATTTGATGTATAATGTCATTTAATTCTGACAGTTTTCTGGTTTTGTCCAGGTTTATTGGAAAAGGTGAGTTATTGAAATCACCTATTACTAATGGGTTCAAATTAACCCATGTCTTTAATTCCAGTGGCATGTTTTTTATGAAGTTATGTGATCCATAGTGTGGGGCATATATGTTTAGGATTGCAACATCTTTTCTTCTTCCTCCTCTGCTTCTTCCTCTTCCTTTTCCTCCTCCTCCTCCTCCTCCTCTTTGGTTTTTTTGAGACAGGGCTTCTCTGTGTAGTCTTGGCTGTCCTGGACTCCCTTTGTAGACCAGGCTGGCTTGAACTCTAAGCGATCTGCCTGCCCCTGCCTCCCTGAGTGATTTAATATCTTCTTTATTAATTGTTCCCTTGATTAGAATGAAGACTCTTTATCTTTCTAATTAGTTTTAATTTCTAATATTTCTAACATCTGTTTTGTCAGATACTAAAGTTGCAATGCTTGCTTCCTTCCTGGTCCCACTTGGAGTAGCTTTTAGTGCCTTTTTTTTTTTAACTGTTTAGAAAAAAAATTTGAATATGCAAAAGGAAAATTTAGAGATAACACCCAATAAAGCACAGAAGATCCTTTCTGAGGTGATGGGAATCCCAACAGGTGTCCCTGAATAGTGCTGAGTGCCACATACAAGCATGGGTCTCGGCCTCTGCTCTCTGAGTTCACGGTGCTGTAGAAAACCTGTGTGGGTGGCAGAGACATTCCTGAGGCAGAACAAATAGACCCACGGGGCAGCTCACCACCAGCATTTCCTAGCAGCAGGCTGAGAGTGTCTCTGTGTGAGTGATGTTGTCACTCTGGCATATTTAAAAACACTCACAGCGCTCTCTTGCCAAGGGCTGAGAGCATTCCCTTTCATTCATCCAATTTGCGTATTTAACATGACCAGATGGGAGGCACCCGGGCAACATTAACTTGGGACATCAGTACCAAGATAGTTCTGCCAGCTGGAGGAACCACCTGCTGCTGCCTCCCAGAGGTCTTTTTTTTTTTTTTTTTTTTTTTTTGGTGTTTCAATGACAGGATTTCTCTGTGTAGCCTTGGCTGTCCTGGACTTGCTTTGTAGACCAGGCTGGCCTCGAACTCACAGAGATCTGCCTACTTCTGCCTCTCCAAGTGCTGGGAGCTTTCAGGCGTGCACCACCATGCCTGGCTCAGTGCTGCCTATTTTTAAAGCTGAGTTTCTTGTATACAACAGAAAGATGGATTTTTGTTTCTTAATCGGGTCAGTAAGCCTGTGTCTTTTAATTGAAAAACCAAGGACTTGAATATTGAAAGTTATGTCTGAAAGGTATGTGTTGACTGCGTGTTTTTTTCTTCTTTTTTTGCTGTTTGTGTTCCTAGTTATACTTTGTGTTTCAGCAATTACAGCTTCATTTCTTTTCTTTTTACATTCTCTTGGGTATGCTCATTCCTGCATAGAGTTAGTCTCCTGGATATTCTTTTAGCCTGCTTGGTTCATGGAAGGTTTTTCTTTCTCCTTCAATTACAGCAGATGGTTTTGCAGAATACCGTATTCCAGTTTGTCAGTCATGATTTTTTTTTTTTTTTAGAACTTGAAGTATATTGTACCAAGCTCTTCTGTCTTTGATTTTTCTACTGGGAAATAAGCTGTTAACATTGCAGGTTTTCCTTTATATGCCATTTTTTTTAATTTTAATTTTTCTTGCCTCTTGCACCTTTCAATACTTTGTTTGTTCTGTAAGCTGTGACATGCCATGAGGATTTTCTTGTGTGAGCTTATCTGCTTCTTGTCTATGTAGTCTGTATGCTGCGTGTACATGTTTGTGTGTGTCGATCCTTAGTTTGGGGCAGTTCACTTTTATGATCATATCAAAGATCTAGTCTTTGCCATTGACCTGAAGTTCTTCTCCCTCATCTATGTCTATAATTAGAAGATTTGGTCCCTTTCATGGTGTCCCCTGGTTCCTGTTTATTCCTTTCCTGTGCTTAATTAAAAAAAATGCTTCTATGGTCTAATTCCTCCATCCTTGAGCCCTGATAGTCTTCTACTTGAGCCTTTTACTTTGGAGGCTTCCCTTAACTTTTCTAGTTGGGTTATTGACTTTTTCATTCTATCTTCATTTCAGCTTCATCAATATTTCTATCTCTTCTATGGACTTTTTCTCAGCAATATATCTGTAGTTTCTTGGACATCACTCAGGTTTTATTGCTATCCTCTTGAAGTTCAATGAGGTTTCGCTTTGTTTCTTTTTTAAATTTCTTGATTTCTTTGATAAATTTTAATTTTGTGCCCTGGGTTCATGTAGGTAATTTGGGACTAGTGTGCTTGAACACAAGACATTCTGTTTTTGCCACTCATACTGTTTTTTGTTTTTGTGATGAGACTTGGGTATGTGGACTTTTTCCTTTGGCTCTGTGTTTGTTGTGAGATTCTGGTTTGTCTTAGGTTGGACCTGTGCAGGCCTGTGTGACTACAACCAGGCAGGAAAAGCTGGTACACGAGCTGTTTGTTTGGACCTAGGCCAGGCACAGCAAGGACACGAGCCTTGGTCTGGGTTACAACTCTAGGTGCAGGGAAGGTGGGGGAGCAGGTGGGAACAGGTGGAGAGAGTCACCAGGCAGAGGCAGAACAATGGAGTCTGAGGCCGCCAAGTATGGAGATGGCATCATGGAGTGGGTATATGGGGGAGGGAAGAAGTGACTTACCAGTCAAAGACAGCTCAAAACCAATGTTGGTTCATGGATTAAAAGTCTAGGGCTAGGTGCCCCCTAAATTGTGAGTTTTGTGTTGCAGACTATCTCTGGATGATTTTAGAGCAAATGGACTAAATTCTTATTGTAATACTAATATTTCATTCCAGATAGATGGCCAGAGACTCAGAGCTCCTCTCCTGTAGCACAAACATCATCTGGCTGTTTGTGCTTATTTGCAAGAATTAGGTATTAAAGAAAAGACATGACTCATGGCATTCCCTTGCTGCTGCTCTAGTGAACTCCTCAGACTTTGATTCAGGGTTCCCATGCCATCAGACTGAAAGCATTATAACACTAAAAAGTTCTCTTTGTGTTTATGTCTGACTGAGTGTATGAACATATGTCTGTGCTTTCTGCTTCCTTGTTCTGAGGCATTGCCTCTCCCTCAACCTGAGCTTACATTTTCTTGGCAAGACTGAAAGTCAGAAAGCTCCAGTGATCTTGTCTCAGTTCCCTTTAGAT